ATATAATTTTATAGCGTGCCCATTATAGCCTCTGTACATGAGATAAATAGCAGCAGCACTGACAGAAAAAGTAGAATATTCTAGAAGTCATATCAGTAAAGTAGGAGACATAATTGAGTTTAAAAATATTGACAGCTATCACAGGGATAAATAGAGCAGCAGCAAAGATCATTCGGGGTATTTTATATGAAACAGTCTTCTATTGACAGCTCAAATCTCTTAGGAACACTGGTAAATGGGTTCTCAGCAATTTTCTTATGAAGGACTCATAAGACATTTATTAGAAAGAGAAAGGGTAGAGGAAAAAGCGTAGACTGTCAAGGTGGTTGCATAAAGTGAAAGGACTTTGTCAAGTCCAGTTTATCATTTTAAATAAATGCGCAATGGCATGGACTGCAGCAGTGTGAACCCAGCTGATTCCGCGCAGGCAGCCTGGGTTGCAGCCCACTAGGAGAAGCAGTGTCTGCGTTGTTACTTTCAACTCTGCCAACCTCTGGATGGTGCGTCTCTGATGCACATGCCCAGCTAGCAAGAGAACTGTGATAGGTGTGTTAAAGCTCAGGGCACCTGCGAAGAGCTTTGTGAAGACTGCACTGAGAGAGTGTGCGCTGGATAACTCTATGGATAGTATACATGTGCATAAATACTCATATTGTGTGTGTGTGCAGACAGATGCACATTCACTTAACAAACACATTGCTTGTTCTCCGTATGGTCTGTGGCAAATGTGAGAGACACTGAAGACAGGCGTGGCTTCAAGCAAGGCAAAGGAAGAAAGTTCTTATGCGCATGTGATGGGGGACAGGGGGTGCTCTTTTAGAAGGTGTCTCACAAAGGTGTTGCCGGCCTTCCTGCAGCCCTGCCCCATGAGAACATGATTCAAGGATGGCTCCCAGGCCTGCTTCCCTTCTTGGGTTTCCATGTGGTTCAGGCCTCTAAGACACTGAAGAGGACCAGAAGGAGAAGTCAGCCACCAAGATGGAGAAGCTGTCTGAGCTTCAGGGAGCAGGGGTCCAGGAAGTTTTGATGACAAGCGCTTCCAAACATTAGATACAAAAAAGGCTTAGATTGTACCAGCTCAGCGTTCTCCACTTTCACCAAGGTTCAGTGTGACTTTCCCTGCTCATGCTGAGAATGACAAATGGGGCCTTGCAGGGGTGCCTATTTCAGTGGGCAGAGTAGTTGCACATATAATGAGCTCTGTGTCTACAACATCTGCAGAGACATCTGGAACGACGTTGAGATCTCGGTGCCGCTCCGAGCTACTGTACTTGCCAGGCTGCAGTGGTGGCTCAGGGAGACAGAGAGTTTGCTTCCCCAGTAGAAAGTTCTCTCACAACACTGACCCTAGCCCAGCATCTGGCCACCAAGGCTTTGGAGCACTCAGATCAGTGTGTGCTGCCAGGGATCCATCGCTCTCCTGCACAGCATCTGCACCTTGAGGCTCCCAGAGACCAAGGAAGGAGTGGACTCACGCTCCTGTAGTCACGTGTGTTTCGCCTCTGAGGAAAAAGACAAAGGGACGTGGACTGGGGTTAACACTTACTCCAGAAAATCAAGTTCACTCCAAGGTTTGGCGTTTGCGCTGTCCGTGACCTGGATCCTCAGGCACTGCTCCTGGGGGCTGTCAGTGATGAGGGAGAAAACTACAGGGCAACTTCTGTAGATGGCCAGTTTGTGGGACAGCGAAAGGGACGTAGGCCAAATGAGAGAGAACAGAGGCAAGAAAACCCGAGGGGCTCCAAAATGACAGCAAGCAGAGCTTGAGGAACCGGGCACCAGGAGTCCCCAGCACGGGCCAAAGTGGGGATCATAGAAGAAAGATCCTGCTTTCCACCAGACTGCTGGGGAGGAGGAAGATGGCTCTGGGGAAGCCAGTGGCCCCTCCGCAGAGACACAACGGCTGTGAAATGTGGGGCTGTGCTACATTTAGGGGCGCATTTGAAGGAGGTGATGCTCCGTGATTTCTCATGCTTTGATTTCCACAAAACCACAGAATACAAGAGTTGGGGGAGATGGATCAGAAAACCCCAGAGCACTGAGAGGAGACAGGATTGGAAGAGGATGGAGACGAAGTCAAAGATGCAGAAAAAGGAGGATGGGGACGTTGCTGCAAAGTGTCAAAGAGATGACATGTGACTGCACGCTTGGTGGTGGCTGGGGAGGAGGTCACAGACCATGCAGTGTCAGGGAAGCCTGTTGGGGCCACACTGAGGCCCAATGTGAAATACAAGAAACACTGTAACAGCCTATGTGGACACTAAACCTTCCTTTGAGGATTTAGGACACCACACTGTGACAAAATTAAATTGAATAGTGAATTCCATCAGCGTTACTGTTATTTAAAATAAACTGGAGTTAGTGGAAACAAAGTAGCTACAATTTTTTTACATTGCTCTTAACCTCCCAGGAATTCTCTGAGCCCTTTGCCTTCCTGTTCCTCCTGACTCTATCCCAGAGCAGTGTGTGAACTGTGACAGCTATTTTCTGTGTTTGCTGCCTTGACATGGGGGTGGGGAGTGGGGCGGTTAGTGATCCCAGGGACGCCTCCTCTGCCAAGGTTAGAGTCCGTGAACAACTAACTCACTGTGCAAATGTAAGCCAAGCATTCCGGAGTGCACCCCCAACCCTCCTTCCCTACTGGGCTCTGACAGTCCAGCCTTGTATCCCTCTTCCCTCAATACTTCCAGGCAAATGCAAGACAATCAGGGATAGCTCCGGTGCTTGAGAAGCTACTCACCTACAGTCTAAGCCTGCTTAGCCCACCTCATGCACTCCTTCCCACAGAGACCACAGTGAAGGCACCAGTTCAGGGTTTTCCTGCTCCCGGTGCCTCCTGGTCAGCTGTGATCTTCCCATGGCAATGTGTGCAATGTACCTCTCTCTGTCCCTGCCACTCACCACTCCCTCGTGGTACTCCCCGGCAAGCCTGTGTGTGTGCCCATTATGGTAAAACACTATGGAAGGTCCTCAAAAATCTAGAAATGGAGCCACAATATGGTTCCACAGTCCTGTCACTAGGTATGCATCCAAAGAACGTGAGATCAGTCTATCAGAGACACTTGCATGTCCATGTTCAATGCTGCACACTGCACAACAGCCAAGAAATGGAGATAGCCTGTTTCCATCCCCTGGTAATTGAGTAGGAATATGTGGTGCACATAAACAGTGAAGCGATATTCATTTACAAAAGCAGAGTGAGAGTCTGTCATTTGCAAGGACATAGGTGGAACTGGAGATAAATAGAGATAAGCCAGGCACAGAAAGATAAGTAAGTACATGATGAGCTCATGCAAAGGTGGATTCCCAGAATGACCAGCTCACAGCAACTGAAAACAGAATGGGGGCTACTGGAAACTGGGAGAGTGGGGGGAGAGGAGGGAAGAGGGAAAAAATAGATATGAACTTATCAAACCGTCCCAGAAAGGCATCATAAGCCAATGAGAATGCATCATTTATTTCTACATGTGACAGCATGCATGACTCTCACAAATAATGTTCAGCAAAATAAATTAAGTAGAAACACATACAGTAAGATTCCACTTCAAAAGGGAAGAAAGCATACTGATACTTGGTGTTAAAAGTCCACAGTGGTTGTTGCCCTTAAAGGACATGAGTGGGAGAAGCTGGAAAGGTGCTTTGAGCTGCTGGTTTTGTTTCCTTGTCTTCTCTGTGTTCATTTTGCAGAAATCCATGGAGCTACACAATTATAATTGGTCCACTTTTCTACATGCCTTTTATGTGTCAATCCACAAACTGGAAAATAAAACTAAGAACAAGATCCAAGGTATCTTGACTAATCAAAGTTGAGTCAATGTAAATATCAGAAAGAGTAAGATCAGCCATGCATTGACACAGATCAATTACATAAAATCCAGAAATTTATAATCACCGTAGGAAAAATACATTGGTTACCTTTGGGGTTATTAAGGCACTAGTATGCTATTCTAAAAATAGTAAAATAAAGATTTACAAACATTAATCTGACTTTTTATATGAATTATATTCCATGGTAATAAAACAACTGAAGCAAGAACACTTTTAGTTTAAGCATTCCAGATAGTAAATCTAAAAGGAGTAATAGAATTGGACAGTCACTGTTGTACAGAGATAATGGTGCGTGTCTGCTGATACATTCAGAAGCCCGGAACATCACCTAAACGAACCTGACGCTAACCAGGTTCCCAGCCCTAAAAGCCAGTTTACAGGAAACAGAGCTGATGAAAACAAATTAAATGGATTCCAAGAATGGAATCCACCATGTTCAGCATATGGAAAATGTACAGGACAAGTGACCTGGCTTCTTTTTTTATTTTGTTAAACTACTTTTAATTTTATTGTCTTAAACATGTATGTTTAATGCCGTGCTAGATTTACTCTTGTTACCAGTCTCCCTAACACTAGACTCTTTGCAGCATTCTCTTTTTATTCTGCAGTAGATGATAAGGGAAAGGCTGACTGTTACAGACTGAAATTTAAAGGCCGTAGCTACCAAATCAATTTGTGAACTTATCTGGATGTGGATTCAAACAACAAATTATTAAAAGATATGCTTTAAAAATCCAGAAAAGTTAACAAGGAATGAGTATGACATGTCATCAAAAATTAGTAGTGTATTGTAGTTATGTTTTCATAAAGTCTTTTCTTAGAGATAGTACTTAATTATTGATAGATAAAATGATATAATTTCCCATGTTTGTGTCAGAAACCTCCAGAAATAGCAGCAGGTGAGGTGAGCTGGGTGTGGAGGCACACACCTGTAATCCCAGCACTTGGAAGGCTGAGGTAAGAGGACCATGAATTCAGCCTGAGATACATAGTGAGTGCAAGACCGGCCTGGACTACAAGGTGAGCCTCCAGCTCAAAAAAGCAAAGGGTGTGGGAGGAGGGGCAGTGGGTACATAAATCCCAATTAGCGATTAGTTAATGTTGACAACCCTTGACATTCTGACATGGACACTGTGGTTCAGGATGTTTGAAATCCGTACCGAAGGACTTACCCCATCCTTAGCTTTCACCAAGAGATCAAAGGTGGCTGGGTCCCTTTCCCTGTCCAGGTCTTGAGACACACAGATCTGCCCGTCGTGGGGATTGATGTGGAACGCTGGAGGTGCCTCCTCGCTCTGGAATCCATCGTAAAGCGAGTACTCAACCAAGCCATAGAGCCCCGCGTCTGCATCAGAAGCTTTTACCTAGGAGACAGGAGAGACACCAGACGATCAGTGCAATGCTCCTGCTACTTTTGGGGCTCCCTAACTCTTGGGACGATTTGTATAAGCAAGTAACTCACAGCCGGTCAGGAGGCACAGGCCTTGGGGTTCCCCCTCTCTCTCCTCTCACCTCCTTGATTACTCTGCTCTTCTCCTGGGCACTCTCCTTTCTGTCTCTAGGCCCACTCTGACACTTCCAAAAGTCTGGGTTCTAAAAGTCTGGGTTCTATTGTCCTCTTGCTCCTTTCAGTAAACCAAACTGGTCTCACTGAATCTGAGAGGTTTAAAAACACCCGCATGACAAGTAGGATTCTATAATGCATCTGGTTCTTCCTTTATGTAGTCTTTTGGTGAAGGCAAGCAACAAAAGTTGAAGTAGTAAATGGCTCAGGAATTCCAACCCCATGATAGAATTCACCAGGACGGGGGTGAGATTCTCATCTCCTAGCACGGTTTCTTTTGGGAAGCAGCACCCCAGCCAGAGGGCTGCCTTCCTGGCAGTCATTTGAGAACAAAATCCAGCCCACACTCAGCTCTCCAGAACAGGTACACAGAGATGGAGCATGAATTGCCCACAGGGGAGGGACTTGGTTCTTATTCCATAAGTGCCTTTTATGTTAGCAGCAGTCCTGTGCCTGGTAGAAAGAATGAAACAACTGGAATCGTGGAAAACAACAGTATCCTAACTGTGGGAGCTTATCTGAGGATCAGTGCATTCATTCTAAGATCCACACTGCATGCCTAAAACTACAGACAGTGAGAACCCCTACATATAATGTTTTCCTACATATAGCTGTGATAAAGTTTAATTTGTAATTTAGTCATAACTCTTATAACAGTGAGAAGGTAACAATTATAAATAATAAAGTAGAGAGGACTTGAGCTGCAGTGCAGTGGCAGAATATTTGACTAATGTGTTCTACCCTTAGTACCATGAAAGAAAAAGAAAAAGACGAAGAGGTGGACGAGGGGGGCAAAACAATTATAAAAATGCACTAAAACAGAAGCTATGTGAATGGGGCTGCTCTGTCCTTCTCAATGGCCCTGAGCAGGCAGCCAGCAGTATGAATTCACAGCACAGAGATAATTCGCACCCCAGATAAGACGGCAAAGGACGGTGCGTGATTTCATCATACTACAGAGAACAGCAGTGGGAACCTTTATGGTTACTTTTGTAATTTTCCATTAATATTTCAGACCACAGCTGTCTGCAGGCAATGGAAGCCATGTAACAGAATAGAGAGAGCCACTGCTCAATGAGAAATACAAGTGATGTACAGAACACGAAATATTCCTAAACTGGAGCTCAGTATAATTCCTCTGACTTACAACCCAGGTAGATCACAGCATTCAATAGAGGCCATTTAAGGGAAGAGAGAGAGAAGAGGGGAGGAAGAGTGAGATTTACAGAATGACTATTCTTGTAAGAGCTTCACATTTATTACACACCTACAGTGTACAAGCTACGAATTTCCTTTTTTTTTAAAAAATTTTATTTAAAAAGAAAAAGAGAAAAAACAAAACAAAACAAAGTGGTATAAGGGTACAAGTAATACAGAACTACAAAAAAAAAAAAACACTAAGAAATCACCAGTTAATAGATTACATATTATCATCTTAGAGATAGTTGCTCAAATCACAGTATCAAAACATACAAAGTGGACATTCAAACAGTGAGACTGCGATTTCCATTTTACAGATCAGAAGTCAGACCAGAGTGCTTATGTGCTTATTGAGGATCACAAAACATAATATGACACATCCATCCAATTATTTGTTTTGCATTAGAAGCAAATTAGATAATCTTTTAAATTTGAAGCATTTGGCCAAGCCACAACTCTACAGCAAGGATAGACTCTTAATGTCATGATAGATAGATAGATAGATAGATAGATAGATAGATAGATAGATAGAGATATCTGAAGTCTTGTCTTTTTGTCTTTTTATTTACTGAAAAATACATCCCCTCAGAAAATCTTCTGACACTCCTGCAAGCACAATGTGCTCCTCATGGGTGACGCCACTCCCAAGTAGCTCTTTTCCTCACACGCTTGTGGTTTTGTGTCTGAAAGAGCATCAGCACACACAAAAACAACTCATGGCAGTGTTGGGGGCCTCCTGGCTTGGCTGAACTTTCTATTGCACGTGGTCAAATCCCAACTGAGTTCCATAAAGCGGGAAAAGAAATAAAGCCATAACAATGGGAAATAAGAGAATTGATTAGATCAACTGAGAAAGGCCAACACCCAACTAATAATTGGCTCATTAAAAGAGAACACAGAAGTAAAAGTAAGGAACATATATTTTTTTAGTTGATGATGTCACAGTGGCATGACCCCAAAAATCACTTTGACTGGGAGGATGGAGATGGCAGTGGCTCTCTGGCCTGAGACCCTTCAACACTAAAGTTAACCAGAGAACATTACTGGGTCACAGCAGAACTGTAAGATACACTGAGACATACAAAGGAACCCAGAAAATCTGATCAATAAAAATAGCTTCTGCTGAAAGTTTACCTTTGTGCAATGCAGGAAGATGTGTGAGATTATGTGGGTCCACAAGGTGCTTCTACTAGGTCGTCAAACCGAAGCAAATGGGAAGTTACACCCCAAAAGCCTCCCATTGGCATATCCTGTGACAGGATCAGTTTTGCAGAAACAATTCTGGCATATTGCTCTAATGGTTTTTAGAGGAAGGCAAATGAAAAGACAACCTGTATTTTTTATTATGCCTTTTGTAGTCATTTAATTCTAGATTGAAAATAAAAAAGATCTTGTTTTAATCAATACTACCTATATCTAAATCTGTATCTATATTTATATCTACACACACATTCATGATCCACAGGAGGAACATGGCTGATTACATTCTTGGTATTCATTTACTTTATCAGCCCTATTTCCTATAACCTGGTGCTTAGAGTTAGAAACCATTCTAGGAGAGCCCCACTGCCTCTGGTATGGTCCTCCCATCTGTGGCCAGCATGTGTCAGATCAGCCATTCACAGCAGTGAGACCCATCCCAAAAGCTACAGGGTGACATTTGTTGGTAGCATTACTCCTAAGCAACTACATCCCTTAATGCAGGGACATTTTCAGACAAATCCCAGAGCACCACACCAAGGAAATGATCAAACGAAACAAGATCTACCTGGGGAAATCACAGCCACATTTTAGACAAAATTTAACATCAGAACCCTCTTAGTTTTCCTTATAATTGATGAATTTTCACCATGCCCACGTAACAATTTGAAGAAACAAAATTACTGATACAAAACCTCCAACTAATTATTTGCTTTATATGGAGAGAGTGATTGACTGCAGTAGCAGAGGTAGATGGGGCTACAAGCCAAGGAGCACTGACAGACAGAGTGGGGATGGGCTTAGGGCTAAGGTCCAGAGACCGGAAGAGACAGCTCATCTTCACCCCACCAAGGAGAGAATTTGGATTTAGGACTTGCTGGATTTAGGACTCTATAGTTTCCAAAACTGTGAGACGCAATACTTCCTGTGGTTTGAGGCCACCAAATGAATGTAGGATTATTACATTGGCCCCAGAATGCTAACAGGATCCCCGAGTGACCTGAAGCAGCCTCACAGCCCTCAGCTGAGCTCTGTGTGGATGACTTCCTGTTCTGTACCTCTGCTCTATGCTGCAGGCTCATGGATCATCTTACTGACAGTCAGTATCTCCTCCTGTGCCTCAAATGCAACGCGCCCCAAGGGCCTCCTAACTCCGCTTTCAACACTGCTGCCCTGCTGTCTTGTCAGTTATTATTAGAGCAGCAAAACATGTACTGGAGAAGGACACTGATTTGTAACTGTCCTGCTCAGAATCCTCCACTGGCTTCCACTAGAGCCAATAAACCCTACCCTTGCCTGCCAGTCTGTCCTGAACCTGTCCTCTGCCCTTATCTCCCACTGCTCTCTGGCCTTGCCTCACTTTCTACACATTAGGCTCTTGGATGGTTCTGGAATTCACCAGCATGGTAACACCTTTTCACTTGCTGTCCCTTCTGCCTGGAAGGCTTTTCCCTCACACTTGTGTATAACCTGCTGCCTCAGCTCGCTCAAGTCTATATACACCACCAAGTCACGCAGCCTTCCAGATCCTCTATATAAAGAGCATCACCCTCCAATCTGCCATGCACATTCTTGTCACCCTACTTCACTGAGCAATTCTCTCCACCTTATGCTACATCACATATTCTTACCTATTCATTTACTGATTACTATATATATATGTATATATAATGCATACTATATATATAATACATAGAATATGTATATGATATATATCTTCTCCAGTACAATTTAAGTGCCAGATCAAATGGATCTCATCTTGCCCTGGTTCTCTAGCACCTACAACATCAGTGCCTGTTGACAGCAAAAGGTACTCTGTGCATTCACTGTGTGAAGAAACAAATCGAATAGTGTGTATAATATAGAAACATGCAGAAGAATGATTTTGATAACCATTCTGCCCAGTTGACCTCCCAAGGAAACAGATAAGTACAAAATGTTTCACAATGCAACTCACGGAAGAGAGTATGTTGCATTAATGAAGCTTCATCAATTTATAAGGCTTTTGATAAGCCACCAAAAATGGTACGACTAAAATCAGCTAGGCAAAAGAGGGATAAAGATTATCAGGCTGGAAACACAGCTGTGCTTCAGTGCTATCTTTTAAAATGTATTTTCAGAGAAATTGATACAACTCTTAGATGAATAGGCTAAATACAGATCCTCAAGTTACAGTCAAAAGATGGTCAGGATAACCTGTATATACTGTCTTAATTAAAAAAGGGATTAAGAAACTACTAACCCTAATACTTAGAATCATCTTTTCTCCACCTCTTTCCCCCCAAGCAATTTTAACCAGTGAGATGGGAGGAAAACTTGTTTTTGAAAGTGCTTCAAACTAAACAATTAAAATGGTGTGATCTAAAACAAAATATGGTAGGCACTGCAGTTAAACCAAAA